GTTTATAAGGAAAAAAAGGCATTATGGCCCATAAAAGAGGCAAAAAGAGCCTGAAGTCTTTGAGAGAAAGTCTGATGAACTGAAAATGTCATCTTACAGGAATGGGTGTGGTAAGATTTTATGAAGAGTCGGTCATCCTCCTTCTCCTCCTCTTTCTCCTCTACTTACTCCTCCTCCTCCTCCTCCCATGTTCTTTTCTCCTTTTTTATCTTCGCCATACTCCTCCTCTTTCTTATTTCCCTTTACTCCCAGTCTTCCTCCTCCTCCTCCTCTTCTTCCTCCTTCTCCTCCTCCTCCTCCTCCTTCTGCCCTCTCCTCCTCCTCCTTCTGCCCTCCCTCCTCCTCCTTCTGCCCTCCCTCCTCCTCCTCTTCCTCCTCCTCCACCTCCTCCTTCTGCCCTCCCTCCTCCTCCTCCTCCTCCTCCTCCTTCTCTCATTATCTATACTCCCACAACCCTTCGTCCGTCCAGTTCTAAGTCCGAGTCGTAACTTCAAGTCGCTCCAAGGTGGTCGTGGTTAGGTCGTCGGCCGGCGGAGAGGGACAGGTGGGATGGTCGTCATGGATCGTCCCACACACACACTTTTGGCTGACTTTTTTTGTTTTCGTTTTAACAAAAATAAAAAGGAATCAAAGGTCCCCCATCTGCCCTCCGCGTGCACCAGTCCTCGTTGGTCGTAAACGTTAAAAAAAAATAATAATGGTAAGTCATTTTGTTATGCCTGATACATGCAGTTTATGATTATTTTTCTTAATCCATACTGTTGTCAAAAAGAAGAATCTATGGGAGTTCCTGGATGGTCCTCAATGTGATATCTGAATATATAACAAACAAAATGAACTAATATTCTCATTTGTAGAGCAGAGGGCCATTCCTTGGCGAAGACTTACCTGCTACTTGATTATCATCCTCAACGGGCGCCTCCTGCTCCGTGGCGTCTACGGGCTCCTCTGCAGCAGGCTCTTCTGCGGCTTCGTTGTTCCGTCTTCCGGGGCGGCGGCCTCTTCGGTTGAAGAGCGACGTGAGTGCCGTGCGGCGGTTGTTGGACGGCGGGGCTCGCTTGGGCTGCGGCGTCGTGGTGCTGATGGGGGCGGCGCTGCGGTTCTTGTTGAAGCGGTTCAGCATGACGCGCCTCTTGCCTCCGACTCCTACTCCGGGGCGACGCTTGTCTGCCGGCCCGTCGGCGGACACTTCCTCCTCGGCGGCAGTGGTGGCATCCAGTTCAGCTTCACCTGCTACGACCTCTTCTGCTGTCTGCTGAACATCGGTCTGTTGCTGTGCTGGGTCAACGGGCGCTTCCTCGGCCGGAGCTGCTGCCTCCTCTGCTGGAGCCTCTGTGCGGGCGCCTCCTCGGTGCCGGGGATTCGGCCGGGGTCTCAGGAAGGAGGTGCGGGTGCGGGTGGGGCGAGCAGGGCGGCCCTGGGGGGCCTGGGGGGCCTGAGGGGCCTGAGGGGCCTCAGCCTCGACTGCAGGCTCTTCAGCAGGAGCTTCGCCCTCGGCCGGCACTTCCTCTGCCTCTTTCTTTGCTTCTGCTTCAGGCTTCCTTCGGACTCCGAAGCGGTGTCTGCTGATGCTGGGGCGTCTCCTGGTGTTGCCTCTGGCAGGGGCTGGGGCAGCGGTAGTAGAAATCACTGCTTCCAAAGTGTCTGTGCTGCTTTCGACTTCGGCTTCCACGTCGGCCACAATGGTCTCCTCTACGGGGGCCTCGACGCCCTCAGTTGGCTCCGTGGTGGCTCCAGCGGCTGCCGTGGTTCCACGCCCGCGGAATCGACTGCCAAGGAGACCTGACCTGGATGGGAGTCTCGGCCTGGCACGGGTTGCTGTTCTTTCGGTTGTGCGTTCTGTTACTTCATTGTCCTTCTTTGTGACTCCGCGGTTCCTGAATGAACTGACTCTGGGCTTGTTGAACCTGTTCCTGAAGCCTCCACTCCTTTCGGTTGTGCTGTCCACAGAGGCCTCAGATGCAACCTCCTCCTCCTCCTCTGCAGGTTTGTCTGTTGATGACTGGGACTTGAAGCGGTTGGAGCTGAAACGGTTGGAGCTAAAGCGGTTCCTGTTGCTGCTGAACCGCGAGCCTCCAAACCTGGACCTGGTCTGCGAGGACTCTTCAGGAGCCTCGGTAGTGGTGGTAGTGCTGGAAGGCTGGAATCGGCTACCTCGGACGCGGCTGCTGAAACGTGATCCAGCACTAGTCCTTGAGAAGCCACGTGTCCTAGCGGTAGTGGTAGGCTCAGGTGTTGTAGTTGTGGTGGTAGTAGTGGTGGTAGTGGTAGTAGTGGTTGTAGTAGAGGTGGTGGTTGGCTCTTCAGTGCTGGGTTCTGGCTCAGGCTCAGGTTCTGCCTGTGGCTCGGTAGGTTCAGTAACAGCCTCGGTCAAGGCTGGGGAGTCGGTGGCGGCTCCAGTTTCGTAGTCGTAGTAGTAGTAATCAATTGGAGTCTCGGTTTCGTAGTCCTCTGACTGTGGGACCTCAGTGGTGACTTCACCCATGTCTTCGGCGTCGGCAGCGCGAGAGAAGGCATAGAGGTTAACCAGAGACAAAGCAGAGGGAGAGAAAGTGGTCGTGGGAACCTCCTCGGTGGTGATCTCGTCATAGATCGTGTCGGCCTCCACGGCCTCTACCTCGGGCACTTCTGCGGCAAACACCCTGGCATCGCGGGACGTCTGGAGTTCGCGGGAGCTCTGGAGTCCTGTGACTTCAGGTACAAGAGGAATCTGCTTGTGCTCATCAATGCCGAGGCGCGAAGATTCCTGGAAGAGTGGCTCGCGTTCGGGCACGGTCGGCGTTGTGGTGACGGGCGTGCGGGGAGGGAAGCGGGTGTGGGCGGGGAGCTTGTCCTCTTCTACGGTGACCGACTGGACGCCGTTGTCGATGCTGTTCACGTCCTGTTCGCGCGACCGGAAGCTACCTCTGCTTCGGAGAGAAGAGGTCCTAGAGGAGGAGCCGGAGTCGATGGCTCTGGAGCGGCCGGAGGACCTGACTGGCTCAATGAAGTTCGCCTCCTGGGAATCTGCTACTTGCTGCCGGCTGCTTCCCCTGTTGCTGGTCCTGCTGCTGGATCTGCTGCTGCCCCTGCTGTTGCTATCTCTGGCGCTCTCCCTGGTGCTATCCCTGCTGCTTTCTCTGATGTTGTCCCTAAGGCTGGACCGGGAGTTTTCCCTGCTACTGCTTCGGCTGTTGGTTCTGCTGCTCAGCCGGCTGTTACCTCGTGAGGGTCGTTCTGTGGTAGTGGTGGTAGTCGTAGTAGTTGTTGTGGTAGGAGGTGGTGTTGTGGTGGTTGTGGTTGTGGTGCTGCTCGTTGTGGTTGAGGAAGAGGTGGACGATGTGGCCGGGGCATCAGCTGCCGCAGGTTCCACATCAACGGCAGAGGAATACTCATAGTCGTAAAGGGGATACTCATCGTCATAGTAGTAGAGGTACTCATACTCATAGAGCTGCCCATTGACTTCCTTGATCTCGATCTTGCTACGGACCTTCTGCTCTGTCTCGGCGGGGAAGAGGAGCTTGTCGTTGTCGTTGGTTCCCTTACCGAAGTTAAGGTCGCTCTCGTCGAAGTACTTGCCGTAGAGGTCGTTGACAGGAGGGTTCTGCTGGTTCTTTGTGCTCAGGATTTCAATGTTGGTCTCATTGGCGGGTTCTTCAGCAAAGACAGGTGAGTCGGTGGTCTCGACAGGAATTTCCGTGGCGATGCCCTCATACTCAGCTGCCACTGGCTCAGGCTCGCTTTCAGGGACAGGTTCAGGCTCCGGGGCGGCCTCCTGGTCATGGTGCAAGAGCTCATCAATTGGCGACGGTTCTGCAACAGGCTCAGGCTCCACACCGGGAACGACTTCGGTAGCAGGAGCCTCGACCTCCTCGGGCACAGGCTCTTCCACGGGCACGGGTTCTGTGGCTGGCTCAGCATCATACAAAAATTCATCCTCTTGAATAGATTTAGCTGCCGCAGCAGGGAAGTCTTCCGAAGGGACCTCAGCTTGGGGAATGTTTGGCAAGAACTGCTCCTCGAAGGCGTCGTGGCTGAGGGTGTAGTTCTCTGGTCCCGCGTCGCTCTGCTCCAACTCGGTGTGATGCTCCACATACGTGTTCTCGCCCTCGACCTCCTTCGTGCCCCGACTCATCTCGACTGAAATCAGAGTCTCGAATTCAGGCTCCAAGGCTGTGACGTTCTTGATGGGCGCGGGGGTGGCGGCAAGGATCTCTTCGTGGGGCAGCTCCGTGGCGGCCACCTCCTCCAGGATCTCCGTCACATAGTCGTAGTCGGGGTAGTCGGTCACGGGCTCGAGGTCGCCGATAACGGGAAGGAGTTCATCGGGTGTCAGCAGGAACGAGTCGAAGCCTTCCGTTCCATTTTCCAGGGCAGCATGCACTTCCTGGTCCAGATGCTCCTCGGTGATGGCAGAAGCTGCTTCCTGCTCAGATCCCTTTGGGGCGTTGTCCAGACTGACGTATAGGATTTCGCCGCCATCTCCTGTAACAACGGAGTCCTGTGCGGAGGGCTGGGATGCCTGGAAGGCCACGAACTCCTGGCCGGGGACGGGCTTGGTGAGGACCTCGGGCTCGGGCCTCGTGCTCTCGCCACTGGCCAGCGGGGACGTCGCCGAGGCGCTCGACTCCGACTCCGACGCGAACTCCTGTCCAGGCTGGGGCTGCGACACGACGACCGGCTCGCTCTGCGGCTGCTCCTCCTGCTCCTTCTCCACTTGCTGCTGCTCTAGTTTGCTCTTGAGCGACGAGCCGGGGCGGAGGCCGAAGCGGATGCCCGGGCGGCGCAGAGGTGGAAGCCGCCTGGTGGGGTGAGAGGGAGCGTCGGAGGCAGCGGCGTCAGGGACTGGGGTCGTAGTGGTCGTGGTCGTCAGTCCTTCGGGAGATTCGGTCGTGGACGTCCTCGAGTTGCGGCGACTGAGAATATTGGGACGATTGCGGATGCTGAAGAGGAGGCGGCGTCTGTCCTCCTGCGGGAAGGCCGAGCAGGCGGCCACCAAGACCAGCGCCAGCGCACACCAC